GTTTTGTTTTGGAAATTGGTGAATTTCAGAGGGCGAAAAGTGGTGGAAAACGGCATTTAATCGGAAAATTTATATGAAAAATATTGTTTGTTACGAGATTTTCTATAAGGTGAGCATAGTCTTAATCGCGGCAATCCTAGTATCWGGTCGTACCGTAAAGCATTACCATTTTAGTGCAGTTAGTCGCCGGTCAGCCAGTTGCAGCGCTACCTGCGTAACGCGGCGACAAAGACGCCCATATGCTTGCCACCTCTCTTATTTTACTGACTCTATGGGTCCGACGCAGAGTGATTGGGCGGCGTGATCTCCGCCATAGAGAAAGTAAAATTACTCTATGATCTCCGCACTGTTTTTAGGTGGAAATGTCGGATGAAAGCAAGTTCCACGTGGCAATTGTGGGCAATTTGTTCGCCACTCAGCCAGTTGGGCGGGAGATGAGCGTCAACCTGGCGCGCCATTTGCTCAAAGGTCTGTCCTACGGCGACCCGTCCATTGTGCAGATTTTGAGCAACACCGTCGTCCACATTGTGCCTGTGATCGACAGCGCTTTTGAGCTGGTAAGCAACGCCTCTATCTCTATTATCTATCGCCTAAATCCGGCTCAATCTTGGTACAGATCTGGGGAGATTTCAACAAAGAATCGGACGGTTTGTCGCACGGCGACGCGTTCAAATGCAACAACATCACGGCCGATTTCAAGCAAGTAGGTGAGCAGCTGCTGAACCTGAACAATCGCCTGACCAGCAACAAAGACACTGTGGCCCAAACCAACGCCTTCAAGCACATGCTGTTGGACGAGCGGTTCGATCTGGTGTTGAACATCGAAGGGGGCAACAGCGGGCTGCTGTAAGTCTGCAAGTTAAAGGCCATAGAGAAAGTAAAATAATATTTTACTTACTCTATGTTAGGTTGCTTATCTAGGTTGCGTCAGTGATACATTTGGTTTTTAATGGACAATCAGCCCTGTGCTGTATCGTAAATGCTATTTTTAACGGCCACACGTTATGGCGACTTGACAGTTCAGGATAACATTTTCGATAACGCAGCAACACAGCCGAGGTGTGCTCTATCTCCGAGTTAACGTCACAGAACATACCCCCTACGGGGGATATTTTGTGGTTAACGTCATAGAGTAAGTAAAATAAGTATTAATAGTATTATTAACCGCCGTATGCACCGCCAAGCTACCTAATCGCGATCAACTAAACGCGTTTAAAAGTTAATCCGGTTTAAGAACCCAGCTGGTATGCACCGTTGAAATTGGCAACAGCGGCGGATTAGTTAAACCTTGTACGGATATGGCAACCGTGTTTTAGTGACTCGCGTTATCAACTTTCACCCGGTGTTCCAATCAGAGATGCCAAGTCTACCGATTTTTCGGTAGATCTATCGATTTGTCAAGGAACCTACCGATACCATGCAGATTTCTACCGAAAAGTAACAAATAAAAGTTGAAAAAATTTACGTGGATT